GCTGAGATGAAGGGCTACAAAGTTTGTTCAAATGAATGACCTTCACCCATAGTCAAGGTCACAGGGGTCAAATATGTTTAAAAACTTTAAACAACTTCTTTTGAAGAACCAAAATGCCCAGGGTAATGATATTTGGCCAGTAGCATGCTGAGATAAAGGGCTACAAAGTTTGTTCAAATAAATGACCTTCATCTATATTCAAGGTCACTGGTGTCAGATGTCTTTAAAATCTTTAAACAACTTCTTCTCAATAACCAAGAGGACCAGGCTGATGATATTTGGCCAGAAGCATGCTGGGATGAAGGGCTACCAAGTTTGCTCAAATGAATGACCTTGACCCACTTTCTAGGTCACTGGTGTCAGATGTCTTTAAAATCTTCAAACAACATCTTCGCAATAACCAAATAGCCCAGGGTACTGATATTTGGCCTGTAGCATACTGGGATGAAGGGCTACCAAGTTTGCTCTAATGAATGACCTTTTCCCACTTTCAACCTAATGTCCTTTGTTCGACATTCAAGGTCACAGGTGTCATATTTTAAAATCTTTTAATAGGTTCTTATGAATGAAACACTGATATTCTGCCTGTAGCTGTTGTTAAGTCCACTTTTAAGATTACAAGTGTGAGATTAATACCAGGTGAGCGATTCGACCCATTGAGCCTCTTGTTTTCTTTNGGCCTGTAGCATGCTGGGATGAAGGACTATCAAGTTTGTTCAACTGAATGACCTTGACCAACTTTCAAGGTCACAGGGGTCAAATGTCATAAAATCTTCAAACGACTTCTTCTCAATAACCAAAAGGGCCAGGGTACTTAAATTCAGCTTGTAGCATACTGGGCTGAAGGATTACCAAGTTAGTTCAAATGAATGACCTTGACTAACTTTCAAGGTCACAGGGGTCAAATGTCGTAAAATCTTCAAGCGACTTCTTTTCAATAAGCAAAAGGGCCAGGGTACTGAAATTGGGCCTGTAGCATACTGGGATGAAGGACTACCATGTTAGTTCAAATGAATGACCTTGATACACTTTCAACCTAATGTACTTGTTCGACAATCAAGGTCAGAGGCGTCATATGTTTAAATCTTTTAATAGGTTCTTATGAAATCTTAAGATTACAAGTGTTAGATTAATAACAGGTGAGCGATGCAAGCCCATTGGGCCTCTTGTCTACAGATTAACTTCAAACTTCATAGGAAGGTTCATTGCCATGATGGCTCAAACAGGTTTGATAACCACCTTTGTCCAACTGTAATTTATGGAGTTATTGCCCTTTATGTACAACCATACTGACAACTGCTCATTCAATTTATGACGGGCGTATTATGTTCTGCTTTCACGGTACCCTTGTTTAAATGTTGTATTGTTATGGTATAACTATATATGGGGGCCATTCAATAAATTTTGTCTCTAGTGTTAGGAATCACAAGTATATTATATATAGTTTGATCTTTCTGTAACATTCCTTTGAAGTATCACCACTCACAGGGACTTAGATCTGGTAAATAGGGTGGGTAGTTAATCAGTGCTACCGTCACTTGTTTCAAAAACACCTGTACAATATTGCTTTTGTGGAATGAGGCATTGTCGTGAATTAGCTTGATTCTATTCAACACTTGTCACGTAGAATATTTTGACAGATTCATCACTTTGTCTATATTAAACTTAGCAGTGATAGTATTCCCTTCCTTGCACGGTACCTGAATCACAGGCTCACTAGAATTGAAAAAAAGGCATACAAAACTTTCTTGGCCCTTTCTGGCTCGCCTATTGGGAGATTGGGGGGGGGGGGCTAATGTAGTCATTCCGGCGTCGGTGTCCCACAACACTGGGGTTAAAGTTTTTGGTAAAGATTTTAGCCTATCTTGCCCAAAGTCTGTCCGTCGTCAATATTTTACTTTAAACAACTTCTTCTTAATAACCAAATGGCCTAGGGTTATGATATTTGGCCAAAAAGCAAAATAGGATGAAGGGCTACCAAGTTTGTTCAAATAAATGACCTTCACCCATCTTCAATGTCTCATGGGTCAGATATGTTAAAAACGTTAAACAACTACTTCTGAATAACCAAAATGCCCAGGGTTATGATATTTGGTTAGTAGCATGCTGGGATGAAGGGCTACTAAGTTTCTTCAAATGAATGACCTTCAGCAATATTCAAGGTCATAGGGGTCAATTGTCTTAAAAAACCTTTAAATAACTTCTGAATAACCAAAAGGACCCTTTTGAATTATATTCAAGGTCATAAGGGTCAAATATGTTAAAATCTTTAAATGACTTCTGAATATCCATAAGGCCTAGAATGTTGATATCTGGTCAGTGGCATGCTGGGATCAAGGGCTGCCAATTTTGTTAAAGTGAATGACTTTTGCTTATTTTCAAGGTCACAGGGGTCAAATTTGTTTAAAATCTTTAAACAACTTCTTCCGAATAACCATAAGGCCAAGAATGTTAATATATAGCCAGTAGCATGCTTGGATTAAGGGCTATCAAGCGTTTTCATTGGAATGACCTTGACCAACTTTCAAGGTCACTTTTGATCAAATATATATAAACATTTAAATGACCTTATTTCAATAAATAAAAGGATAGGGTGGTGATACTTTGCAAGTTTCATCCTGAGATGTAGGCCTATAAAATTTGTTCAACATAATGACCTTGTTTGACTTTCAAGGTTACAGGGATGAAATGTTTTTTAACCTTTAAACAGGTTCTTATGAATTACTTTTAATACTGATACTTTGCCTGTATCTTTATTTTAGATCACTTTTCTGGTTACAAGTGTGAGATTTATATCGGGTGAATGATACAGGCCCGCTATTATAAGGTTGATGCATTTATATGGAGTGTAAGATTTATAATTTTAGGGTCCAAAAACAGATTAATTGGACTCTGTTAAAGTTTTTGGGCAAGTTTTTTTGGGCAGTGTTGGACCACCACCATCAATAGGCTGTTGTCGTTTAGAAGATTGAGGTATTTATAGAGTGTAAGAAATGTGCTGAACCATATTTTCATATCTTCACGGCCAAAACAGCCTATTTAGACTTGGTTAAAGTTTTTGGGCATGTTTTATGTGCCATGTTGGATCCCCACCATCAATACACTGCTGACTATTTCACATTGTCTGGTCATCGCTTCTAACAACATATTAAGGTACATATAGCAAACCTTGTTATATTGTCACCATTTGTTCAAAGAAATGTTGGCATTATAAAGGTGTTTGGCAATTAATTCAGGGAAACATATAAAGGAATTCTTCAGAAGAACATAGTTAAAGGAGCTTGATACATGTTGGCTATAGGCAAGGTCTGGAATGATGTGCATTATATTGAGGTTTTACTGTGCATGTGTTTATATTAATATTTGCTATCTTACAAGATATATGACCAATAGGTGAGCTATGCTGTTCTCCAACAGCTTTTGTTATACATCTTGCAATCACTGGCCTTGTTTGATTTCTCTACACTCATTGCCTGTTAGTATTGTGCCTCTAGAGTTCAAATTTATACTGTATATGTCCGAGTCAATTTTACCATACTTTTTCAATTTATCTTAAGCACATTTCGTTTAGTCTCTTGCTCATAAGTCAGCAAATGGGGGATTGTTTGGGCACAAAGCTTCTTTAATTCCAAGCACTTGGTCTGATGATGGCGAAATTTTGCACATGTGTTGTAATTTAAATGCTTTTGCAGTGTGCCAAGGCACTAAACTATTATATTGCCTGTTGCTACAGGAGCTGTGTGGTGACAGAATTTATTGAATTGCCCTCTTATATAAATTACTGTTACAGTGTACTGTTCATCAGATACTTGAGAAAGGTGTTTCAGTCAAGATCATGGATCACCTGCCTGGTTTCATTCAAAATATCCATCTGGCAGACTTCCCGTTGAAATACCCGGGTAAAAAATTTGCTGCAGGCACTACCATAAAGTGCAGGGTGAGTACTGTAGTACTTAGTCAGGGACATGTGTATCTGTTCTAGGATCTCTCTGTCAAAGGTGGTATTGGTCTTACCTGGTATGTTTAATAAACATTGAACTGACTATCAGTGAAGTAAGAATATGGCTATAAATAAATAAATATTGTCTATTGATTGCTATTTACATTGAAAATTTGTCATTTCAAAGGAAATTTACATTAAATACTGTTCAAAGTTTGAGAGCTTCCGATGCACCAACCAAACAAATATTTGGCATGTTTAAATATTGTCATACTGGTCACATGTGGAGGCTTTCATTTCTACAGGCTAACTGTCCAAAAACACCAATTTTTTTTGCTATTTCTGCATGGCAACGCAATTTTGTTGCTTTGGTGGGATACATCTTTGCATGCACAATTAAAAAAAAACCTGCACCAGGATAGATATCCCCAATTTACCAAAATGATGATCATGATTATAAAAGAAATTGGTACATGAATTTAAGTTGACATGTTTACTTTTTATGATGCTGAAATGACCCATAATGCCCCTAGTACTCTCCCGTTATGCCAATTCATAAATTTAATGTACTTTAGTGTCCTTTATAGTTTTAAAGAATCCTCTTAATAAAACACCTACAGACGATATTTTGACATAATGTAAATAAACAATAACTAATAGTTACTGAATTTAATGTAAATAAATGATTTGTTGAATCAATTGTGTTTTTTTTTTACATATGTGGCATGAGTTGTGTCATGCCGCATCTGTTGTACCAATATCAATCAACGTTTCCTTTATAAGACAATGAATTTAGTAAACTTAAGGAATTTTGACTAAATTTTATATTGATTGTTCCTGAGCAAGGGTAATTTAATTTTGTATACTAAAGGAATTTTGACTAAATATGATATTGATGATCCCTGAACAAGGTTAATTTAATATTGTATGAATGAGGAAGGCAAAGAGGTAGGGCACAATTAGAGAATAAATCTCTAAGTAACAGAGAAGCAATTTATGTGCAATGGTGTAGGATTAGGGCATGCAAAAGTAAATAAATGAAAGCCATACAATGTCAAGAGTATTCAAAAATATTAAAATGAAGGGTGAACACCCTCCTCACTGAGAGGTAGACAGTGAATCCTGTGTGCATACCCTCCCTGAGAAGTAGACAGTAAATCCTGTGTGCATACCCTCCCTGAGAAGTAGACAGTGAATCCTGTGTGCACACCCTCCCTGAGGGGTAGCCAGTGAATCCTGTGTGCACACCCTCCCTGAGAAGTAGACAGTGAATCCTGTGAGCACACCCTCCCTGAGAAGTAGACAGTGAATCCTGTGAGCACACCCTCCCTGAGGGGTAGACAGTGAATCCAGTGTGCACACCCTCCCTGAGAAGTAGACAGTGAATCCTGTGAGCACACCCTCCCTGAGGGGTAGACAGTGAATCCAGTGTGCACACCCTCCCTGAGAAGTAGACAGTGAATCCTGTGAGCACACCCTCCCTGAGGGGTAGACAGTGAATCCAGTGTGCACACCCTCCCTGAGAAGTAGACAGTGAATCCTGTGAGCACACCCTCCCTGAGGGGTAGACAGTGAATCCAGTGTGCACACCCTCCCTGAGAAGTAGACAGTGAATCCTGTGAGCACACCCTCCCTGAGGGGTAGACAGTGAATCCAGTGTGCACACCCTCCCTGAGAAGTAGACAGTGAATCCTGTGAGCACATCCTCCCTGAGGGGTAGACAGTGAATCCTGTGTGCACACCCTCCCTGAGGGGTAGACAGTGAATCCTGTGAGCACACCCTCCCTGAAAGGTAGACAGTAAATCAAGTGTTCACCTCTTCCCTGAGGGGTAGACAGGGAATCCAGTGAGCACACCCTCCCTGAGGGGTAGACAGTGAATCATGTGAGCACACCCTACCTGAGGGGTAGACAGTGAATCCTGTGAGCACACCCTCCCTGAGGGGTAGATAGTGAATCCTGTGTGCACACCCTCTCTGAGGGGTAGACAGTGAATCCTGTGTGCACACCCTCCCTGAGGGGTAGCCAGTGAATCCTGTGTGCACACCCTCCCTGAGGGGTAGCCAGTGAATCCTGTGAGCACACCCTCCCTGAGGGGTAGACAGTGAATCCTGTGAGCACACCCTCCCTGAGGGGTAGACAGTGAATCCTGTGTGCACACCCTCCCTGAGGGGTAGACAGTGAATCCTGTGAGCACACCCTCCCTGAGGGGTAGACAGTGAATCCTGTGTGCACACCCTCCCTGAGGGGTAGACAGTGAATCCTGTGAGCACACCCTCCCTGAGGGGTAGACAGTGAATCCTGTGAGCACACCCTCCCTGAGGGGTAGACAGTGAATCCTGTGAGCACACCCTCCCTGAGGGGTAGACAGTGAATCCTGTGAGCACACCCTCCCTGAGGGGTAGACAGTGAATCCTGTGTGCACACCCTCCCTGAGGGGTAGACAGTGAATCCTGTGAGCACACCCTCCCTGAGGGGTAGACAGTGAATCCTGTGAGCACACCCTCCCTGAGGGGTAGACAGTGAATCCTGTGAGCACACCCTCCCTGAGGGGTAGACAGTGAATCCTGTGAGCACACCCTCCCTGAGGGGTAGACAGTGAATCCTGTGAGCACACCCTCCCTGAGGGGTAGACAGTGAATCCTGTGAGCACACCCTCCCTGAGGGGTAGACAGTGAATCCTGTGAGCACACCCTCCCTGAGGGGTAGACAGTGAATCCTGTGTGCACACCCTCCCTGAGGGGTAGACAGTGAATCCTGTGAGCACACCCTCCCTGAGGGGTAGACAGTGAATCCTGTGAGCACACCCTCCCTGAGGGGTAGACAGTGAATCCTGTGAGCACACCCTCCCTGAGGGGTAGACAGTGAATCCTGTGAGCACACCCTCCCTGAGGGGTAGACAGTGAATCCTGTGAGCACACCCTCCCTGAGGGGTAGACAGTGAATCCTGTGAGCACACCCTCCCTGAGGGGTAGACAGTGAATCCTGTGTGCACACCCTCCCTGAGGGGTAGACAGTGAATCCTGTGAGCACACCCTCCCTGAGGGGTAGACAGTGAATCCTGTGTGCACACCCTCCCTGAGGGGTAGACAGTGAATCCTGTGAGCACACCCTCCCTGAGGGGTAGACAGTGAATCCTGTGTGCACACCCTCCCTGAGGGGTAGACAGTGAATCCTGTGAGCACACCCTCCCTGAGGGGTAGACAGTGAATCCTGTGAGCACACCCTCCCTGAGGGGTAGACAGTGAATCCTGTGAGCACACCCTCCCTGAGGGGTAGACAGTGAATCCTGTGAGCACACCCTCCCTGAGGGGTAGACAGTGAATCCTGTGAGCACACCCTCCCTGAGGGGTAGACAGTGAATCCTGTGAGCACACCCTCCCTGAGGGGTAGACAGTGAATCCTGTGAGCACACCCTCCCTGAGGGGTAGACAGTGAATCCTGTGTGCACACCCTCCCTGAGGGGTAGACAGTGAATCCTGTGAGCACACCCTCCCTGAGGGGTAGACAGTGAATCCTGTGTGCACACCCTCCCTGAGGGGTAGACAGTGAATCCTGTGAGCACACCCTCCCTGAGGGGTAGACAGTGAATCCTGTGTGCACACCCTCCCTGAGGGGTAGACAGTGAATCCTGTGAGCACACCCTCCCTGAGGGGTAGACAGTGAATCCTGTGAGCACACCCTCCCTGAGGGGTAGACAGTGAATCCTGTGAGCACACCCTCCCTGAGGGGTAGACAGTGAATCCTGTGAGCACACCCTCCCTGAGGGGTAGACAGTGAATCCTGTGAGCACACCCTCCCTGAGGGGTAGACAGTGAATCCTGTGAGCACACCCTCCCTGAGGGGTAGACAGTGAATCCTGTGAGCACACCCTCCCTGAGGGGTAGACAGTGAATCCTGTGTGCACACCCTCTCTGAGGGGTAGACAGTGAATCCTGTGTGCACACCCTCCCTGAGGGGTAGCCAGTGAATCCTGTGTGCACACCCTCCCTGAGGGGTAGACAGTGAATCCTGTGAGCACACCCTCCCTGAGAGGTAGACAGTGAATCCTGTGTGCACACCCTCCCTGAGGGGTAGACAGTGAATCCTGTGAGCACACCCTCCCTGAGGGGTTGACAGTGAATCCTGTGAGCACAACCTCCCTGAGGGGTAGATAGTGAATCCTGTGTGCACACCCTCTCTGAGGGGTAGACAGTGAATCATGTGTGCACACCCTTCCTGAGGGGTAGCCAGTGAATCCTGTGTGCACACCGTCCCTGAGGGGTAGACAGTGAATCCAGTGAGCACAACCTCCCTGAGGGGTAGACAGTGACACCAGTGTGCACACCCTACCTGAGGGGTAGCCAGTGAATCTTGTGTGCAAACCCTCCCTGAGGGGTAGCCAGTGAATCCTGTGGCACACCCTCCCTGAGGGGTAGATAGTGAATCCTGTGTGCACACCCTCCCTGAGGGGTAGATAGTGAATCCTGTGAGCACACCCTCCCTGAGAGGTAGACAGTGAATCCTGTGTGCACACCCTCTCTGAGGGGTAGACAGTGAATCCTGCGAGCACACCCTCCCTGAGGGGTAGACAGTGAATCCTGTGAGCACACCCTCCCTGAGGGGTAGACAGTGAATCCTGTGAGCACACCCTCCCTGAGGGTAGACAGTGAATCGTGTGAGCACACCTTCCTCGAGGGGTAGACAGTGAACCCTGTGAGCACACCCTCCCTGAGGGGTAGATAGTGAATCCTGTGTGCACACCCTCCCTGAGGGGTAGACAGTGAATCCAGTGTGCACACCCTATCTGAGAAGTAGACAGTGAATCCTGCGAGCACCCCCTTCCTGAGGGGTAGACAGTGAACCCTGTGTGCAAACCCTCCCTGAGAAGTAGACAGTGAATCCTGCGAGCACACCCTCCTTGAGAGGTAGACAGTGAATCCTGTGTGCCCACCCTCCCTGAGGGGTAGCCAGTGAACCCTGTGTGCACCCCCTCCCTGAGGGGTAGACAGTGAATCCTGTGAGTACATCCTCCCTGAGGGGTAGATAGTGAATCCTGTGTGCACACCCTCCTGAGGGGTAGCCAGTGAATCCTGTGTGTACACCCTCCCTGAGGGGTAGCCAGTGAATCCTGTGTGCACACCCTTCCTGAGGGGTAGACAGTGAATCCTGTGTGCACACCCTACCTAAGAAGTAGACAGTGAATTCTGCGAGCACACCCTTCCTGAGCGGTAGACAGTGAATCCAGTGTGCACACCCTACCTGAGAAGTAGACAGTGAATTCTGCGAGCACACCCTTCCTGAGCGGTAGCCAGTGAATCCAGTGTGCACACCCTCCCTGAGAAGTAGACAGTGAATCCTGCGAGCACACCCTCCTTGAGAGGTAGACAGTGAATCCTGTGTGCGCACCCTCCCTGAGAGGTAGACAGTGAATCCTGTGTGCACACCTTCTCTGATGGGTAGACAGTGAATCCTGTGTGCACACCCTCCCTGAGAAGGGCAGTGGTGGCTGAGACAGTTTTTACTTGTTCTGCTGTTTTGCTTGCCCACTTTAAACCAAATGCTTGGACCAACTGTTGTTATTGTTTGACTTAGAAAAAAGGTTCAGAACGATATCATGGTCTGTAACTGTGAAAAATAAGCTTTTGTCTAGTTCATGTAACAAATAGATTAGTTGAACTACACAATCACCCTTTTTCAAATATCTTAAACATACTTATCATTGCTTCTGCTGTTAAATTGCACACTAAAAGATATAGAAGAACTCAACAAAACGTTGTCACAAAATTAAGACATTTGGTGTGAATAACTTGTCCTCTATTATTGTATGCATATATTTGTTTAACAGTGTAGTTGTTGGGACTAAGCTTACTGCTTTATACATTTGTCAACAGGTTTTAAGTGTGGATGTCATGAAGAAACGGGTGTTGCTGACCAGAAAAAAGTCCTTAGTTAATTCTAAACTGCCCATTCTCACTGGTTGGAGCCAGTTGGAGACTGATCAGCTGTTGGATGGATTTATTTGCAATATCACAGAAAAGGGGGTGCTGGTCGCCTTCTACAATTACATGAAAGTAGGTACTCAGTAAATATAATAAATTATTGTGTAACAGACAGATATAAATACAATTGAGTGACAAACTTGATATAATACTGTTGTGTGACAGACAGTAGATATAATACTATTGTGTGACAGACAGTAGATATAATACTGTTGTGTGACAGACAGTAGATATAATAATGTTGTATGACGGACAGTAGATATAATACTGTTTTGTGAGAGACAGTAGATATAATACTGTTGTGTGACAGACAGTAGATATAATAATGTTGTATGATGGACAGTAGATATAATACTGTTGTGTGAGAGACAGTAGATATGAAACTGTTTTGTGACAGTAATAATGAATAATATTTAAGATACACTGAAAGTATTGTGATGGATATTAGAAGGATGCAATAATGGCTCCTCAAGCATTGCATTTGTTTGTGAAATTTAATACCAACAAAAAGGTTCATGTGACTGAACAATTAAAAAGACAATCTTTCATTTTTCAGAGAACAATTTTAAAATCCATATTAAAGTTAAAAGAATAGAAAATAGCCAAACAATTGTTTTAACTGTTATGTACAGTACAGGTCTACTCCAGGAAAGATCTTCTCCAAGGTTTTGTAAGGCATCCAGACATTCAGAAACAAATGTTTGTAGTGCGACAGAAAAGAAAAATTACAAAATGTGCTTATCATGTTGTTTACTTAGTTGGGTTTAGTCTCTAATCTGGATTCAAGTTATTGGGGTTCTAAAATGTCACGAAAGAAGATAAATTATTTTCAGATAAACTAGGTCTATAAACCATGATACTTATACATTTCAAATGTTGAAAAATCCTGTAATGTTTTCTTCATTTTTCATGTTGACAGGGATGGGTTCCCCGTAGGGAGCTCAGTGAGGAGGACATACGCTTCCCTGAGAAAGTGTTTATGATGGGCCAGGTGGTCAAATGTCGAGTTTTGAATTGGAGTGAGGAGACCAACAAACTCACTCTCTCCTTCAAGGTTAGTACATAACTCACCAACAGATTCCCTCTCACCAGCCAAGTATATAGCAGACTAGCAGATTAGCATACCTACTCTCTTTTTCAAGTTAATGACATAACTGACCAACAGATGATGTATCATGCTGTATACCATAAAATGATTGCTTGTTTTTGTGGTTGCTCTGGAAACACGAAATGTGATTGATTTACTTGACTACAGTTTGTTTATATGGACAATCTACAAAAGTTTACAGTACAACAAAACAATCTTAATTGCCTAAAACCACGAAGGAAAGTACCCACAAACGTTTCATGGTATACAGTAAAAGACCAACATATGAAATTCAGTCATTAATGTTCACAATATTGGATGTAGTAACTACATTACTGCAGTACATGCAAGTCATGATAGTCATGCCACCTTTGTACCAAGCAAAAGTGTGCGCTTTGTGAGTTAACTGGATCACAGGCTGGAAACAGTGGGACTATCAGATATGTGGTGGCTGGATAGTGGACTATCAGATTAGTGGGGGCTGGATAGAGGTCAATCAGATTATTGGTGACTGGATAGAGGTCAATCAGATTAGTGGTGGCTGGATAGAAGTCAATCAGATTATTGGTGACTGGATAGAGGTCAATGAGATAAGTGGTGACTGGGGATAGAGGTCAATCAGATTATTGATGACTGGATAGAGGTCAATGAGATAAGTGGTGACTGGATAGAGGTCAATCAGATTATTGTTGGCTGGATAGAGGTCAATCAGATTATTGATGACTGGATAGAAGTCAATCAGATTAGTGGTGGCTGGATAGAGGTCAATCAGAGTATTGATGACTGGATAGAAGTCAATCAGATTAGTGGTGGCTGGATAGTGGTCAATCAGACTAGTGGTTGCTGGATAGTGGTCAATCAGATTATTGGTGACTGGATAGAGGTCAATCAGATTAGTGGTGGCTGGATAGAGGTCAATCAGATTAGTGGTGACTGGAAAGTGGACTATCAGATTAGTGGTGGCTGGATAGTGAACAACCATATTATTGGTGACTGGATAGAGGTCAGTCAGATAAGTTGTGGCTGGATAGAGGTCAATCAGATAAGCAGTTGCAGGATAGTGGACCATCAGATTAGTGTTTGCTGGATAGAGAACAATCAGCTTAGTGGTGCCTGGATAGAGGTCAGTCAGATAAGTGGTGGAAGGATAGTGGACTATCATATTAGTGGCCACTGGAAAGTGGTCAATCAGATTAGTGGTGGCCCGATAGTGGTCAATCAGACTAGTGGTGACTGGATAGTTGGCAATCAGATTTGAGGTGGCCTGATAGTGGCCCATCAGATTAGTGTTTGCAGGATAGTGGACTATAAGATCAGTGGTGGCTGGATAGTGGTCAATCAGATAAGTGGTGGCTGGATAGAGGTCAATCAGACTATTGGTCACTGGATAGTGGTCAATCAGATAAGTAGTAACTGGATAGAGGTCAATCAGATTAGTGGTGGCTGGATAGAGGTCAATCAGATTAGTGGTGACTGGTTAGTGGTCAATTAGACTAGTGGTGACTGGATAGTGGTCAAACAGATAAGTGGTGACTGGATAGAGGTCAATCAGATTATTTTTGGCTGGATAGAGGTCAATCAGATCAGTGATTGCTGGAAAGTGGACAATCAGATTAGTGGTGAATGGATAGAGGTCAATCAGATAAGGGTTGACTTCATAGAGGTCAATCAGATTATTGGTGGCTGGATAGAGGTCAATCAGATCAGTGATTGCTGGAAAGCGGACTTTCAGATAAGTGGTGACTGGATAGAGGTCAATCAGATAAGTGGTGACTCGATAGAGGTCAATCAGATTAGTGGTGGCTGGATAGTGGACTATCAAATTAGTGGTGGCTGGATAGTGGACTATCAGATTACTGGTGGCTGGATAGTAGACAACCATATTATTGGTTAATGGGTAGAGGTCAGTCAAATAAGTGGTGGAAGGATAGTGGACCATCATATTAGTGGCGGCTGGATAGAGGTTAATTAGATAAGTGATGGCTGGATAGTGGTCAATCAGATTAGTGGTGGCTGGATAGTGGTCAATTAGATTAGTGGTGACTGGATAGTGGACTATCAGATTAGTGGTGACTGGATAGTGTTCAAACAGATTAGTGGTGGCTGGATAGTGGGCAATTAGATTAGTGGTGACTGGATGGTGGAATATCAGATTAGTGGTGACTGGATAGTGGTCAATCAGATTAGCGGTGGCTGGGTAGTGGTAAATCAGATTAGTGGTGGCCGGATAGTGAGAAATCAAATTAGTGGTGACTGAATAGTGGACAATCAGATTAGTGGTGACTGGATAGTGGTCAAACAGACTAGTGGTGGCTGGATAGTGGTCAATCAGATTAGTGGTGGCCCGATAGTGGTCAATCAGACAAGTGGTGACTGGATAGTTGGCAATCAGATTAGAGGTGGCCGGATAGTGGCCCATCAGATTAGTGTTTGCAGGATAGTGGACTATAAGATCAGTGGTGGCTGGATAGTGGGCAATTAGATTAGTGGTGACTGGATGGTGGACTATCAGATTAGTGGTGACTGGATAGTTTGCAATCAGATTAGCGGTGGCTGGGTAGTGGTAAATCAGATTAGTGGTGGCCGGATAGTGAGAAATCAAATTAGTGGTGACTGAATAGTGGACAATCAGATTAGTGGTGACTGGATAGTGGTCAATCAGATTAGTGGTGGCTAGATAGTGGACTGTCAGATTAGTGGTGGCTGGATAGAGGTCAATCAGACTATTGGTCGCTGGATAGTGGTCAATCAGATTATTGGTGACTGGATAGAGGTCAATCAGACTAGTGGTGGCTGGATAGAGGTCAATCAGATTAGTGGTGGATGGATAGTGGTCAGTCAGATTAGTGATGGCTGGATAGAGCACAATCAGATTAGTGGTGGTAGGATAGAGGTCAGTCAGATAAGTGGTGGAAGGATAGTGGACTATCAGATTAATGGTGGCTGGATAGAGGTTAATCAGATAAGTGGTGACTGGATAGTGGACTATCAGATTAGTGGTGGCTAGAAAGTGGACTATCAGATTAGTAGTGGTGGCTAGATAGTGGACAACCGTATTATTGGTGTCTGGATAGTGGACAACCATATTATTGGTGACTGGATAGTGGACAACCATATTATTGGTGACTGGATAGTGGTCAATCAGATAAGTTGTGACTGGATCGAGGTCAATCAGATAAGCAGTTGCAGGATAGTGGACCATCAGATTAGTGTTTGCTGGATAGAGGACAATCAGATTAGTGGTGGCTGGATAGAGGTCAGTCAGATAAGTTGTGGCTGGATAGTGGTCAATCAGATTAGTGGTGACTGGATCGAGGTCAATCAGATAAGCAGTTGCAGGAAAGTGGACTATCATATTAGTGGCAGCCGGCTGGATAGAGGTTAATCAGATATGTGGTGGCTGGATAGTGGTCAATCAGATTAGTGGTGACTTGATAAAGGTCAATCAGATTATTGGTGACTGGATAGAGGTCAATCAGATAAGTGGTGACTGGATAGACGTCAATCAGATTAGTGGTGACTGGATAGAGGTCAATCAGATTAGTGGCGGCTGGATAGAGGTTAATCATATTATTGGTGACTGGATAGAGGTCAATCAGATTAGTGGTGACTGGATAGTGGTCAATCAGATTAATTGTGGCTGGATAGTGGACTATCAAATTAGTGGTGGGTGGATAGTGGACAATCAGATTAGTGGTTGTTGGGTAGTTGACTATCAGATTAGTGGTGGCTGGATAGTTGACTATCAGTATAGTCGTGACTGGATAGTGGACTATCGGATTAGTGGTGGCTGGATAGTTGACTATTAGATTAGTGGTGACTGGATAGTGGACCATCAGATTAGTGGTGGCTGGATAGTGGACTATCAGATTAGTGGTGGTGACCGGATAGTAGGGTAGCTGAATTAGTGGTGGCAGGAAAATGGAGCAATCAGATTATAATTAAGTGGCTTGACATTGGAATGTCAGACTAGTGGTAGCTTGATCATTGAGGCTTGATTGTAATTTTTTTATTTATCATACATTATCAATTATTTGATTTTCTGTGAAGATATCAAGTTGCCCAGGTTAATAGAATTGCTTTATGTTTAATATCATGTTAACCTTTAGTTATTTTTTTTACTGGCTACACAGATTAAGCTGACACCATTTGGCAAAAACATGGTTGTTGAGGTTCCAGATGACTTCAAGATTGGAATGGTGAGTTTTGGATTCAGAGATGAAATGAACAGCTTTGTCATCAGCAGTTCAATAGCTTAATTAACATCTTACAAAAAATGAATTTCATGCTTTGAAATATTTCATAAAAGTTTTGATTGTTTATTCAAATATAAGTGTTTGTCTATCCTGCTCAGAATTGCATGGTAATGTTACAATACATGAAACACATATGTTACCTTTTGTCACAATAGATTTAGATATATATCTTTTTAAGTGGTTATAAAAAATACAAACCTTAACACTAACATCTGATTTTTTCTGATATTGTCAGTATGTTATCTTAAAATAATTCACATTTGATGAATGTATAATAAGTTGTTACATGAACTTTAATTTGAGCATAAAAATGGTTATTGTTTTATTAGAACTGGTAAATACCCAGCTTGTGTGTGTCTGTAATAATGATGATACACTTGAATGCCCATATTTATACTTATTTTGCTGTCACCTAACATATAAAAGGATAATACCGTTCAATGTTATATTTCCACCTTGCCAAATTGTTCACACTTTTGTCTTTCACCACAGATTTGCTTGATGTTGAATTCGCTCACATATATTTGCCTGAAATACTTGTTGTATATATACATGTATATGTAAAATGTTTTGTTACCCTGTACTGAATTCATTTTCTCAGCTAATGAAAGGGAAGGTCAAGTCAGTGTCAAATACAGGTGTGAACGTCATCACCTTGGTAACATGTGGTGTTTTATGTTAACAGCTAGTGGAAGGGAAGGTCAAGTCAGTGTCAAATACAGGTGTGAACGTCACCCTGGTAACATGTGGTGTTTTATGTTAACAGCTAGTGGAAGGAAAGGTCAAGTCAGTGTCCAATACAGGTGTGAACGTCACCCTGGAACCAACAGGTGTTGAAGCCTTCCTGCCCCGAAATCACCTGTCCGACAGCCTTGAAGGATGTAATCTACTGATGGCTCACTATAAAGAGGGCGTCCCCCTCAAAGGACTCATGTACCTAAGCAAGGCCAGTGTTCTTGTATCCTTATCCTCATGGGCTCTACATATTTAAGTGTTTTTAGCTCACCTGGCACGAAGTGCCAAGTGAGCTTATGCCGTGGTGCGGCGTCCGTCGTCCGTCGTCAATATTTTACTTTAAACGACTTCTTCTTTATAACCAAAAGGCCTAGGGTGTCGATATTTGGCCAGAAGCAAACTTAGATGAAGGGCTACAAAGTTTGTTAAAGTTAATGACCTTCACCTATTTTCAAGGTCACAGGGGTCAAATATGTTAAAAACTTTAAACATCTTCTTCTCAATAACCAAAATGCCCAGGGTAATGATATTTGGCCAGTAGCATGCTTGGGTGAAGGGCTACCATGTTTGTTCAAATGAATGACTTTCAATTATATTCAAGGTCACAGGGGTCAATTGTCTTAAAAAACCTTTAAACAACTTCTTCTCAATAACCTAAATGCCCTGGGTGATGATATTTGGCCAGTAGCATGCTGGGATGAAGGGCTATCAAGATTGTTCAAATGCATGACCTTCACCCATATTCAAGGTCACAGGGGTCAAATATGTTAAAAACTTTAAAAAACTTCTTCTCAATAACCAAAATGCCCAGGGTGATGATATTTAGTCAGTAGCATACTAGGATCAAGGGCTACCAAGTTTGTTGAAATGTATGACCTTGAATCATATTCAAGGTCACAAGGAGCAAATATGTTCAAAATGTTTCAACAACTTGTTCTGAATAACCAAAAGGCTCAGGATGTTGATATTTAGTCAGTAGCATATGCTGGGATCAAGGACTACTATGTTTGTTAAAGTGAATGACTTTGACTTATATTCAAGGTCACAGGGGTCAAATTTGTTTAAAATCTTTAAACAACCTCTTATGAATAACCATGGGTCCCAGAATGTTTATACTTTTCAAGTTGCATTCTGAGATGAAAGGCTATACAATGTGTTCAACATAATGACTTTGTTCGACTTTCAATTACAGGGGTGAAATGTTTTAAAAAAAAAATAACAGGGTCTTTTGAATGAATTTTAATCATAAATACTGATATTTTGCCTGTAGCTTTATTTTAGATTACTTTTAAGGTTACAACTGTGTCAAGTGTGAGTTTTATACCAGGTGAGCGATGCAGGCCCATTGGGCCTCTTGTTTTCCTTCCATTTCACTTTAGCTTTTGTGAGCAGGTGTTGATTGTTATGTCATTTGTTTGTGAGAGTAACATCATCAATTTTTTGCTCACTTATGGCATGGTGCGTCGTCCGTCGTCCGTCCGTCGTCAACATTTTACTTTAAACAACTTCTTCTCAGTAACCAAAAGGCCTAGGGTCAGATGATATTTGTTCATAAACATGCTGGGATGAAGTGCTACCAAGTTTGTTCAAATAAATGACCTTCATCCATTTTTCAGGTCACAGGGGTCAAATATGTTTAAAACATTTAAACAACTTCTTCCAAATAACCAATAGGCCTAGGGTGCTTAAATTTGGCCAGTAACATGCTGGGATGAAGGGCTACCAAGTTTGTTTAAATAAAAGACCTTGATTTTTAGTCAAATATGTTTTAAATATTTAAACAACTTCTCCTGAATAACCAAGAGGCCTAGGGTGCCTAAATTTGGCCAGTAACATGCTGGGATAAAGGGCTACCAAGTTTGTTCAAATAAATGACCTTGGTTTATATTCAAGGTCACAGGGGTCAAATATGTTTTAAACCTTTCAACAACTTCTTCTGAATAACCGATAGGCCTAGGGTAAGGATATTTGGCCAGTAACATGCTGGGATGAAGGGCTTCCAAGTTCGTTCAAATACATGACCTTGACCTATATTCTAGGTCACAGGGGTCAAATATGTTGAAAACATTTCAACAACTTCTTCTGAATAACCAAGAGGCCTTGGGTGCATAAATTTGGCCAGTAACATGCTGGGATAAATTGCTTCCAAGTTTGTTCAAATAAATGACCTTGATTTATATTCAAGGTCACAGGGGTCAAATATGTTTAAAACATTTCAACAACTTCTTCTGAATAAGCAAGAGGCCTAGGGTGATGAAATTTGTACAGTAACATGCTGGGTTGAAGAGCTACCAGGTTTGTTCAAATAAATGACCTTGACTTATAATCAAGGTCACAGGGGACAAATATGTTCAAAACATTTAAACAACCTCTTCTGAATAACCAAGAGGCCTTAGGTGATGATATTTGGCCAGTAGCATGCTGGGATGAAGGGCTACCAAGGTTGTTCAAATAAATGACCTTCATCCATTTTCAAGGTCACAGGGGTCAAATATGTTTAAAACCTTTAAACAACTTTTTCTGAATAACCAGAATGCCAAGGGTGATGATATTTGACCAGTAGCATGCTGGGATGAAGGGCTACCAAGTTTGTTCAAATGAATGACCAAGACCAACTTTCAAGGTCACAGGTGTCAAATGTCTTAAAATCTTCAAACAACTTCTTCTCAATACCTTGGCCCACTTTCAACCTGATGTCATTGTTTGACATTCAACGTCACACTGATATTCTGTCTGTAGCTGTATTTTAGTCCACTTTTAAGATTACAAGTGTGAGATTAATACCAGGTGATCGATGCAGGCCCATTGGGCATCTTGTTAAGAAAACAACGTAATTTTCTCACACAAACCAATGACATAACACTCAAAACCTGCTCACAAGAGAAAATAACTGTGCAATACACAAAGACGGAATAGTGGCGTTTCCATGGAATCCATCATATACAATCATTGTGGGGTATATGGGAAAAGGAGAGATGAAGTGTCTCCATAAAATAATGGTATACATAGATAACCTAACCATTCAACTGACTCTGTTCCCATGATAAAATTGAAATGGAAATATTAATGGGTAGTTAGTCAAATCAACACTAATTGGGCACTGTAAATATCTGTTTAATGTGGTGTTCTATCATTGAAATCTTTCACCAAAAACTGGAACACTTTTATTTATTTTCATCTATTATCATCTGTAGATCATCTCAAACTAACAAAATCTTGATTGCTTATTAAACTGAAACTGTCAACTATTTCCTGACTGGATAAATGTGCTCCTTGACTAGTGATTAGACAGTCACTCATCGCAAGTCCATGTGTGACAATATTGACCAGGTTGTGTCGGAGTTTGACAAGCTACAGGTAAGTAACAGTGTTCTTATTAGGGCACCCGTATCCCTATAGTAATCACTCTGTTTGTCTGTCCGGCTGTCCGTCTGTCTGTCCATCCACAAATTTTGTTCCTGGCTGATAACTTTGGTATTTATATACCAATTTACTTGAAACTTGGTCAAGATGTTCAGATCACAAAATACACACTGAGGCAAAAAGTCAAGGTCAAAGATCAAGGTCATTAGGCTCAAAAGTAAAGGTCAAATTTTGCATCTTTTCACTAATGAACATTTTGTTATGACATGATGAAGCAAATTTTACCAGAATTAAACAAGAAGTCAACTGACCAAAGGTAAAGGTCTTTGGGTCAGAGGTCAAGTGCAAATTTGTAGCTTTTTACTAATGAACATTTTAGTAGTTTTTATCTGTGGCGTGGCGTGGCGTGCGGTGTCTGTCCGTTCATCAACCGGCATCAATATTTTACTTTAAGAAACTTCTTCTTAATAACCAAAAGGCCTAGGTTGATGATATTTGGCCAGAAGCAAACTGGGATGAAGGGCTTCCAAGTTTTTTCAAATAAATGACTTTCATCCATATTCAAGGTCACAGGGGTCATATATGTTAAACTTTAAAAACTTCTACTGAATAACCGAAATGCCCAGGGTGATGATATTTGACCAGTAGCATGCTGGGATGAAGGGCTACCGAGTTTGTTAAAATGAAAGACCTTCACTCATATTCAAGGTGACAGGGGTCAGTTGTCTTAAAAAGCCTTTAAACAACTTCTTCTGAATAACCAAAAGGACTAGGATGTTGATATTTGGTCAGTAGCATGCTGTGATGAAGGGCTACCAAGATTGTTCAAATAAATAGCCTTCACATATGTTCAAAGTCAGAGGGGTCAAATATGTTTAAAATCTTAATAATGACTTCTGAATAACAAAACGGCCCAGAATGATGATATTTGGCCTGTAGCATGCTAAGATGAAGCGCTACCAAGTTTGTTTAAATGAATCACCTTGACTTATATTTAAGGTCACAGGGGTCAAATATGTTTAAAATCTTAAAACAACATCTTCTGAATAACCAAAAGGCCCAGAATGTTGATATTTGGCCAGTAGCATGCTAGGATAAAGGGCTACCAAGTTTGTTAAAATGAATTACCTTGACATAAATTCAAGGTCACAGGTCAAATATGTTTAAAACCTTTAAACAACTTCCTCTTAATAACCAAAAGGCCTAGTTTTAACTTGGAAAAAACCCATTCTATAAACATATATATATATATATACAGTTGCTGAGTATAAGGATTGAGACAAATTCACATATATTCTACCAGAATTGCCCCAGGATTCTAGCCCCACCGGCATGGAGGAGTCAAAGTCACTTGGTCATAACGTTTAAACGGTCAATATCCCCAAACAGTAACCATTTATACAATTGCTAGACAGATAGTGATAGATACGATAATGCTATTAGAACTGACTCTGGGGTCAGGCAACACACTAAGGGACTTATTCCCTGGGTCATAACATGGAAACCTTTCAGATCCCCATCCTATGTATGCAATTGCTGAGCATAAAGATTTGGATACATGCTACTTTCATTGAGAATCTTTAACCATAATTGCTTAAATATCCAGGTGAGTAATACAGGTCCTCTGGGCCTCTTGTATTGACATTATGTGAGCATACTACTGTGAATATACTTAATCTGTACACATGTTACTGTGAACAAATACTTTTATCTAGTGGGGGAATGATTTCATTGTGTTTCACGTGCACACTGACACTACTAGAGTACTAAAGTTTGACATATCATATAAGAAATAACACACTGCTCTTAATAACACGCCCTTGTACAATGAAAAAGATTGAACCTATCGTACTTGATTTCTAAAGTTGATTAATGCATCCTTTGAGATGAATTTTTGTGTTGTTTTATGTTACAGCCTGGTATGATTGTACCTGGTACTGTAAAGCGACTTATGGATTACGGTATATTTATTGAGTTCCCTGGAGACATAAGTGCTTTGGTACCTAATAAGGTAAGTGAATCCTAATGTTTATTAGGTATGTATATTGTATGACCACAGCTTAATCCTCCCTGCATTGATAAAGGGAAGGTATTATTGTGGAGGATTAAAACCTTAATTAAGGCAATTCTAGACTGTTGTCTGTAGAATATCCAATTATTTTCATTTATAGCTCAACTGCCCGAAGGGCAGGGCAGGTGAGCTAATGCCGTACGGTGGCGTCCGGTGTCATGCATAAAATGTATCTCCTGCTTAAATAGTATCCGAATACTTTTTATGCAGAATAAAAAGTATTCGGATGCTTTTTATACCCCTACCAAAAAGTAACCCCCCTGTATAAAAAGTACCCCCTACGAGAAAAAATAATGTTTATTTTTTTTTAATCAAAAATACTTCAGAAGTTGACCAGAAGGTTACAGTTGCATGTTTATTGACCCCTACCCCACCAATCCCCACCTCCGGGGCCAGGAAATTATGCCAAAATAATTTTCAATCACTGGACACAATTAGGTTTGGGGAGTCGAGTAGAAACATTTACATTTATGTTACAGTCATTGCCCAACCTCTCTTCAATTCCCCTACCCCCGGATACTTTTTATACCCTGATCAAAGAGTACCCCCCCTTTTTTTAGGTCACTTGAGCTTGTCCGTCGTCCGTCGTGCATCGTGCGTAAACTTTTTACATTATCAACTTCTTCTCAAGAACCAGTAGATGGAATTTTTTCAAACTTGGTCAGAATCATCCTTGGTAGATGAGGCTACCAAATTGTAAAATTGGGATTCCTACCCCAACCCTAGGGGCCAGGGCGGGACCCAAAAGGGAAAATTAGCCAATATTTCAAAAATCTTCTTCTCCAGACTCAGAGGTATTACAGTCATTTTCTCTGTATGGATGGAAAGATCATCAGGGGCTTTATTAAAATTTTAAATTTCAGGACCCCCGATCTATCTGTTTTCCCTTGGGGAGGGGGTAAAGTTTACTTTAGTTTATATAGGGAAACAATACTTTTGGGTATATTTTGACAATTTTATGTTGGAAATTATTTTTACTTGGTCAGAATCATCTTTGGTGGATGACGGTATCACATTGTAAACTTGGAATTCCTGCCCCATCCCCAAGGGTTAGAGTGGGGCCCCAAAGGGAACATTTACAAATATTTTAAAATTCTTATCCTTTGATGACATGACAAGTATTGTATTTCACTTAGTTTACATGCGGATTTCCACATCACATCTAAACAATAAAATAAAGCTACCAGTATCTATGATATAACTCAGGTGACCGCTAAGGCCCTTGGGCCTCTTGTTTTTTTTTTTTATACAATTGAGTTCAGAACTTGAACAGGCCATTACAGGGGAATATTTATCCACCCCTACCCCACCAATCCCCACCCCTGGGACCAGGAAATTATGCCAAAGAATTTTCAATCATTGGACACAATAAGTTTTAGGGAGTCAAGAGAAACATTTACAGTAATGTTATATTCATTGCCCAACCTCTCTTCAACTCCCCATCCCCCGGATACTTTCTATACACCCGACCAAAATGTACCCTCCGGATACTTTTTATACCCTGACCAAAGAGTACCCCCCTATGAAAAAATATTTTTTCCCTTTTTTTTATGATGATATAAATTTTGATAATATTTGTGATGTTGATGAGATTAGTTTTGATCACTATACTATATCTGTCGGTCCTGTATCACACTATTAGTTGTCACTATACTTAACCTATCAGTCCTGTATTACGCTATTAGTTTTCACTATACTATACCTGTCAGCCCTGTATCACACTATTAGTTGTCACTAGACTTAACCTATCAGTCCTGTATTACACTATTAGTTATCACTATACTATACCTGTCAGTCCTGTATCACACTATCCCTTTTTTTTATGATGATATAAATTTTGATAATATTTGTGATGTTGATGAGAATAGTTTTGATCACTATACTATATCTGTCGGTCCTGTATCACACTATTAGTTGTCACTATACTATACCTGTCAGTCCTGTATTACACTATTAGTTAACTCTATACTATATCTGTCAGTCCTGTATCACATTATTATTATTCACATTACTATATCTGTCAGTCCTGTATCACACTATTAGTAATCACTTTACTGTACCTGTCAGGCCTGTATCACACTATTAGTTGTCACTATAATTAACCTATCAGTCCTGTATTACACTATTAGTTATCACTATACTATACCTGTCAGTCCTTTATTACACTATTAGTTTTCACTATACTATACCTGTCAGTCCTGTATTACACTATTAGTTAACACTATACTATATCTGTCAGCCCTGTATCACACTATTAGTTGTCACTATAATTAACCTATCAGTCCTGTATTACACTATTAGTTATCACTATACTATACCTGTCAGTCCTTTATTACACTATTAGTTTTCACTATACTATCCCTGTCAGTCCTGTATTACACTATTAGTTAGCACTATACTATACCTGTCAGTCCTGTATTAAACTATTAGTTTTCACTATACTATACCTGTCAGTCCTGTATTAAACTATTAGTTTTCACTATACTATACCTGTCAGCCCTGTATCACACTATTAGTTGTCACTATACTTAACCTATCAGTCCTGTATTACGCTATTAGTTTTCACTATACTATACCTGTCAATCCTGTATCACACTATTAGTTATCACTATACTATACCTGTCAGTCCTGTATTACACTATTAGTTAACACTATACTATATCTGTCAGTCCTGTATAACACTATTAGTTGTCACTATACTTAACCTATCAGTCCTGTATTACGCTATTAGTTTTCACTATACTATACCTGTCAGTCCTGTATTACGCTATTAGTTAACACTATACTATATCTGTCAGTCCTGTATAACACTATTAGTTGTCACTATACTTAACCTATCAGTCCTGTATTACGCTATTAGTTTTCACTATACTATACCTGTCAGCCCTGTATCACACTATTAGTTGTCACTATACTATACCTGTCAGTCCTGTATTAAACTATTAGTTTTCACTATACTATACCTGTCAGTCCTGTATTACACTATTAGTTAGCACTATACTATACCTGTCAGTCCTGTATTAAACTATTAGTTTTCACTATACTATACCTGTCAGTCCTGTATTACACTATTAGTTTTCACTATACTATACCTGTTAGTCCTGTATCACACTATTAGTTATCACTATACTATACCTGTCAGTCCTGTATTAAACTATTAGTTTTCACTATACTATACCTGTTAGTCCTGTATCCCACTATTAGTTATCACTATACTATACCTGTTAGTCCTGTATCACACGATTAGTTATCACTATACTATATCTGTCAGCCCTGTATCACACTACAACTTATCACTATACTTTATCTGTCAGTCCTGTATCACACTACAACTTATCACTATACTATATCTGTCAGTCCTGTATCACACTACTAGTTGTCAATCTGTCAATCCTGTATTACATTAGATCACATCAGTACCTTTACCTGGACATCTTTTTAGATCATAGCTGAGCCTCAGGAGACTAACACAATTATGATTTATTATTGACCCTGATGTCTCTTTTTTAGTTAGACTGTGGTTTGCAGTCTAAGTCTTAGGTAAATGATTTGAGCTAGGCTTTGGCTAACAGGTGTAGATTTTAGCTAGGCTGTGTTTACAGGTATGTTTTTTAGTTAGGCTGTGCTACAGGTAATGATTTTAGTTAGGCTGTGTTTACAGGTTAAGATTTAAACTAGGCTGTGTTTACAAGTAAAGATTTTAACTAGGCTGTGTTTACAGGTAAAGATTTTAACTAGGCTGTGTTTACAGGTAAAGATTTTAGTTATGCTGTGGCTTACATGTACAGATTTTAACTAGGCTGTGGCTTACAGGTAAAGATTTTAACTAGGCTAGTAGTTTTGGTATTTAATTTAAAACAGCCGCCCATACTAGTCGACCTAACTTTATTTTTGAGACTTTTGAGACTCAGTAATAGTTTTGAAAGAAGACTTGAGCAACCAAAATTCTGTTTTAATCTTTTATTTATGTCTATTTTGGAACATTCAGATTTCAAACTACTACTATTCTGTAAGATGCACTTGTGCTGTATGTGCCTGGTTTTCTGTTGACCAATTAGTAATTCAGAAGTCAGAATTTTTCCAGAATTTTGGAGAGTCAAAATACATGTCAAATCAACATTTTTCTTTAAAGCGCAAATAAAAATCAACACTCTTTTTTGAAATTTGATAATGTTAACATAATGTTGAGGGTCTACAGAAATCCCTGTTACCCTTTACCTTACCATAATTACCTTTACATTACCATAATAACCTTTACCTTACAAATATTACCTTTACTTTACCATAATTACCTTTACCTTACAAATATAACCTTTACTCTACCATAATTACCTTTACCTTACAAATATTACCTTTACTTTACCATAATTACCTTTACCTTACAAATATTACCTTTACTTTACCATAATTGCCTTTACTTTACCATAATTACCTTCACTTTACCATAATTACCTTTACTTTACCATAATTACCTTTACTTTACCATAATTACCTTTACCTTACAAATATTACCTTTAATTTACCATACTTATCTTTACATTACCATAATTACCTTTACAGTACCATAATTACCTTTACATTACCATAATTACCTTCACCTTACAAATATTATCTTTACTTTACCATAATTACCTTTACCTTACAAATGTTACATTTACTTTACCTTAATTACCTTTTTACCATTATTAGCTCACCTGGCACAAAGTGCCAAGCGAGCTTATGCCGTGGCGCGGCGTCCGTCGTCCGTCCGTCCGTCCGTCCGTCCGTCCGTCCGTCCGTCCGTCCTCGTCCGTCAACTTTTCCCTTAAACAACTTCTTCTGAACTAAAAGAACTAAAAGGTATAGAATCTTCATATTTGGCTGATGGCTTCCTGGGATTGAGCCCAACAAAGTTTGAGAATGAAAATGACCTTGACCTACTTTCAAGGTCACAGGGGTCAAATGTGTCAAACACTTAAAACGACTTCTTCTGAAGAACTGAAAGATATAGAATCTTTATATTTGGCTGGTGGCTTCCTGGGATAGAGACCAACAAAGTTTGAGAATGAAAATTACCTTTACCTTCTTTCAAGGTCGCAGGGGTCAAATGTGTCAAACACTTCAAACGACTTCTTCTGAAGAACTGAAAGGTATATAATCTTTATATTTGGCTGGTGGCTTCCTGGGATAGAGCCCAACAAAGTTTGAGAATGAAAACTAGTTTGACCTACTTTCAAGGTCACAGGGGTCATATATGTCAAAA